CGGCGCCCCCCCCTTGCCGTGGCCCGAGTCTTCCCACAGCAGCACGCTCTCGCCGCCGACGCTCGCGCATCCCCCCGCGTCGGTCACGCTGCTGCCGCCGCCGCCGCCACCGCCGCCCTCGTCGCTTATCCTTCTGCCGTCGCCGGCCACGTTCTCCGCCGTGGAGCCGCTGTTGCCTCTGCTGCGACTGGTCCTGTTGTTGGCATCGCTCTCGTCGTCGCTGCTCAAGCACAACCCTTGCCGTCCGCCGACCCCGAACGGCTTGCGCTGCTGCTGCTGCTGCGAATTTCCCTCTTTCCCGCTGTCCGCGCCTGGCCCCGCTGGTGCTGTTTGTGCTTCGCCGCCACCGTTATCGCCGTCCCATCCCGCCGGCGTACCGGTTAGTTTCACTGGACTCGCTATAGAAACCGTACCGTTCATCGCCCGGTGCTAACGTTGCCACAAAGCACGTAGTAGTTTTCATTGTGCGACAGCAGCAGGTATTCAGTCCGCGGCGCGCGTACGACCGGAAGCACCCGACGAGCACAACAGCAGGTGGGAAACAATACGGAAGCGTCAAATACACACAGAAGCTAAGGGAAATGCCACAACCATGCTCGAAGCTCTCGAAATAGAGTCGCAGCCAACGACGCACAAAAAAATTTGAGCTACAAGCGCACATACAGCATACATACAATATCTCGGAGACATTCAAGCCCGTGCTCAAGTTCCCGAAGAGAAACGGCCAATATTCGCGCGTAGAAGAAACTATTTGAGGTCGGACGGGGCGGGGGGGGCCAGCAGAGTGGGAAGCGGGTACCTGCGTGTGCCGGTTTACGCACCGACGTCCATACCATTGCCAGAGAAATCTGATATCGGAACCCTCGAAAGGCGTTCTCGGAGGTTGACACTCGCTATTAGGGCCGTTTTATACAAAGCGAGTTTGTTCTCGTTTCAAATTTTTCGGTGCAAGTAGTGTCCAAATTTCCAAATATTCACATTTTTCTCTCTGCCGCAAGTCGAGGTTTCAACGGTCTATTGTACGGATTTGGACAATTGGAAGCTACATAGTTGCTGAATAAAACGGCCCTTAGAGTGCGACGGAACGTCTCAAATAGTCTGTTGCCATTGACGAGTAACGGCCGCCGTCGAAGCACGAGACAGCAGTCCGTCCCTGAGGAAGGAAGCAAGAATTTCGGCTCACCAGACGATCGTACTGTTCCTCTGGGCTCTCCGCACGCTCGCGTATGACAACGCCCAGCACCCCCCTCGAGGACGGCTCGACGGTGTCCATCCCCACCATGATGAGCCACATGAGCCCTTGAGCGAGAAAGCACAACAAGGAAGAGAGGGGGATGGGGGTGGGGTCTTTTTCACAAAGTCATGCGCGCAGAAGGAAGCGGCATTTGAATGTTTTTCTAATTTCAGCAATATTCACCACGGAGAGAGAAAGGAGAGGGAGAGAGGGCAAGTCAGAGAGAGACGGGCATGTCGTGGAATGAATTGTGAGGACAGCCATGATAGTGAGGGGCTCGGAGGGTGCGGTTAGAGAGCGCGTGGGTAAAAACAATCGTGGTACAAGAGAAGTGGGTAGTCTTGGACGCCCCTGGAGGACACCCACCCACCACTCCTGCGGTGAAAGTCAACGCCATTTTGTTCATTACGAGAAGTTGGTCATTCTTGCTACGAACGACACTCCCCCCCCCCCCCCCCCCCCCCCCCCCCCCCCCCCCCCCCCCCCCCCCCCCCCCCCCCCCCCCCCCCCCCCCCC